CAAGTTGAAATGTAGGAATCTGTTGATTTCTGGAATTTTCCATTTCATATTTTCAAACCGTGGTTAACGGCAGGAAGCTGAAACCTCAGAGGAGGAAACTGAGGTGAGGGGGTGCAGTGGGGGGGAACTACTGCCCCCCTCCCCCGCCCAGCCATGTACCTGACGAATGAAGGTAGGAAGAACAATTAAATTGATAAAGGGGGAGCCAATCACAAGGATCTACCTATAACCTCCTCCCTGGGGGACGGACAACGGAAAAGTGGGTGAAGGGAGACGTCGGACAGTGTAAGATATGACAAATTAATAATAATGTATAAATTATCAAGGGTTCATGAGGGAGGGTACAGGGAGGGAGGGGGGAAATGAGGAGCTGATACCAAGGGCTCAAGCAGAAAGCAAATGTTTTGAGAATGATGATGGCAGCAAATGTAGAAATGTGCTCGACACAATGGATGGACGGTGATAAGAGCTGCACAAGCCCCCATTAACATGATTTAATAAAAAACACACAATTGACCCAACAGCAGGAGCGCGAGTTATGCGCAGATTTCAACACAGGTAGACCGAGGGTTGATCGTTTTCCGGAGGTTCTTGGAAAAACAGGTGAGAGTGTTGACTAATCCTCCAATTACATTGCCCCTCTTTGAGGGGGGGGGGTCCGCCCGAAAGGTGGAATTGAACCACTCTGTCGCTAGACAGCTACAGGTTTGAAGCCTGCACCCCAGACCACTGAGGATCATCCGGGCAGTACATAAATAGCATCTTGATGCCATATGAAGACCAGAATATTTGATCATTTATTAATCATGGTGACATACTTTTAGAAATAAATCTGTTTATCTCGATACTTACAACATGTCTTTGTATACTTATCATCGCAGAACAGATGCTTTTAAAATGGAGCCTCTACTCTTTGAGGGGTGAATTAGTCTCCCTTCATAAACGAACTAATTTGCATAGCGCCGAGCATTCTGGGACGAGGCGCCCCAGGTGCTGGTCCGCCAGTCTCTGGCTGTTAAAGGGCCAGGAGCCCCTTTGTTAAAGGGCAAAGTCTGTTTTGTTTTTTCTTTGTTTGTTTTGTTTTCTCATGAGGAGATACTCGTAATTAAGCACTCTCAAGCCCCTTCCTTGAGAAATCAGAGTTATTCTTGTGTGTCGGAGTGAATTCTGCGGAGTACCCCCGTCTGGTTGGAGTCCGCTCCCGCTCTCAGGGATGCTGCAGGTGATGGGGTTGATGCGGCATCTGCTGGCCTTTCACGGAACTGCAGAGACTTACGAGACCCTGGACTCCTTCCAATGGTGGTTGTTGAATCTCAGACGCAGTCCTGGGACCTGGACCGCGCAATGGTCACGGTGACAGCAATTCTTGTTTTCATGGAACCAACACACTAAAGTCCACCCACTCCTACACCAGCATTTTAGATCCTGGAAAGCTGAGGACTAAAAACGGAGAGTGCTGTACCCCCTATCCCCTGCCTGCTCTAGATTGCTAACCTGAAACTTGGCGATCCAAACCCACCCAACTGTACTGCGAAGGACAGGCCTGGCGATGGGCTGCTGTAAACTGCCCAGTCAAGAAGGAGCTGGGGCCACGAGTTTGGGTTTATCGTAACGTAATTCGCCCACTGCCATCGAGCTGATTCTGGCTCCTAGGAATCTTATAGATCAGGTCAGAACTGCCCCTGTGAGTTTCCCAGACTTAAGGTAACTCTTGGTGGGAGTAGACAGCTTCATTTTTCTCCCTCGGAGAGGCTGCGGGTTTCAAACTGCTGACTTTGGGGCGAGCAAGCCAATACATAACCATTATTCCACCAGGGTCCCTCAATCGGAGGCCTAGACGGTGCCAATACAGATTGGCTTACCACAAGGGCAGTTCAAACCCACCCAGCAGTGCTGCAGAAGACAAGTCTAGTGATCTGCCTCCGTAAAATTGCCCTGGGATGCCATCAAGTCCACTGCGACTCTTGGCCACCCTCTAGGACAGCGGGCAACTGCTCTGAGGTTTTCCGAGGCTGTGATTTAAAGGAAACAGACTGCCATGCCTTTCTCCGACAGAGTGGCACGTCAGCTTAAACCACCAATCTTTCCCTTAGCAGCTCGGCGCTCAACGCATCGCGCCAACAAGGGCCCCTTTCTATGAGCTTATAACCAACCCTTGATTGGAGCTCTGGGGGCATGTAGTGGATTCCTCGTTGGGCTGCTAACCACAAGGTCAATGGTTCGAAACCACCAGCCTCTCCTCAGGAGACCCATGAGGCTTCTGCTCCCCCAAAGAGTGACAATCTCAGAAATCCACAGGGGCAGTTCTACCTAGTCCTGTAGGATGGCTCTGGGTAGGCATGGACTTGACAGTGAGTGTGGTCTGAGATTTACAGCCACTGGGCCCAAGGGAGCACCCTGGGTACATGACATAGCTTAAGTCAGTTATTCTTTGGCACTCTTTTATCTCTTCCATCTCAGAATAAAAGTCAAAGTTCCCACCAAGACGGGCCAATCCTGTCATCCAGTTCCTTTCATCCTCAGGCCCATCCCCTACTCCCGTCTCACGTACTTGGCTCTGTCTCCCGGGTCTGCTGCTGAACACAGCCTCTGCGTTTTGCTGATCCCTCTGCCTGGATCTCCTTTCCCTGCAAGGTCCCAGGACAGCCTGCTGCCCTTCACTCGGGCCTCTATTCAAACAGCACCCCCTCTGAAAGCTTCCCTGCCCACTCGCTGTACCTAAAAGAGCAAGTCCTACTACTCAAGTCCCCTCTCCCTGCTAGATTTTTCTCCAGCACACTGCATACCATCGGACCTGCTCTGTTTCTCGTTGCTTCTGGTTAGTGGGCTTCACCTAGAATCTCAGGTCCTTCTAATCACCACTTTTGTTCTTGTTCCTTGTATCCTGAGGGTCCAGGGAGCCCTGGTGGGGCAGTGGATGAGGTAATGGGCTGTTGACTGCAAGATCAGAGGTTCGAACCCACCTGCTGCTCCACGGGACAGCGCTGAGGCTGCCTGCTCCCTTCAAGTTCAGATCTCTTCCGTCCTGGGTCGTCGGAATGGACTTGACAACAGCAGGTTTGGTTTCTGGGTTTGAAAACATGCTGGCGACTACTAAAGGCGTTCAATCGATGTCCGTGGGATGCAGGAAGGAAAGATTATTATTACTAAGTTTTCTCCTCTGACGCCCCTTCTGTCAAGCCGGGCTAGTCCAGTTGATCCAAGAGCCTCCGTGGTGGTGCAAACCGGTTACTCATTGGGATGTTAATTGCAGGGTCAGCACTTTGAAACCACCAGCCCAGCAGCTCTGCTCTGGGGGAGAAAGAGGAGGCTTTTTACTCCTGTAAGGACTTAAGCTTTACATTTTAAAGTCTCGGAAGCCCACAGGGGCAGTTCCACTCTGTCTTGAGTCAGAATTGAGTGCGTTTGTTGGTTAACGAGATGGTGAATATAAAGGTTTAATAAAGGGCCAGTAGGAGCCCTGGTGACATAGTGATTAGTGGTTGGGGTGCTGTGCTAGTCTGGGTACTTTAGAGACAGAAATCCACAGAAACTCATGTATAAGAGAGAGTTTTACATCAAGGGTAAGTGCACATCCAGAAAACATCC